GAGATGGAAGAGATGGTGGCCGTATTCCTGGATGCCAATAGGTTACGGAGGACCGTGATTTCAGAGATTATCGACGCAACGAATGTTTACCAGGGTGCTCTGTTTCTTGAAGCTCTATCCCAATTTCTTGTTGGGTTCAGGGACCCCATATTGCTCGCTGAATTCGAACGTTGCAACATGCCCATCTTGAGGTTTTGCTGATATATTTATTCGTCTCCGCCAAAATTTTTCTGCTCAAGGTTCAACTTCTGCTGAATTTGTACTCTTTTTCTTCGCTTTCTCTTCTGTTTAATCCGAATTGGTCACATGGTTTTTAATGAAAACTGTTTGTACATTTCAGGGTATTTTCCAAATTCATGATTCCTGCAAATTGTTCATCCTGGACGAGGAAGATTTGCGCTGTAATTCTTCCAATTCGAGCTGTGCTAAATGCTGAAGTAGAAATCTCTTTTTTTGCTCTTTTAATTTTTTATCCATTAGGAAAAGGGAGATAACCACTGTGTATATCAGTTTGTATTCAGCCGTGTGATGTGGATTACGTGTCATCACGTTATTGGTTAGTCTGTAGTTCTCTAACACTTTGAAAAGTCTTCCCTCTTTCTCTGGTGTAAATTCATGTGTGGCAGTAAAGCAGGAAACGCCGCCGCCTAGGGCGGGTTATTACAATGTGCGGTTGTTTTCTTCCACCGACAATGGCGGATCAATCTTCGCCCCCCCAAAATTGGTTTTTAATAGTATCAGCTTTGAAATTGCTTCTTCTTTTCAGAAATCGCTCAAAGACATACAGAGAAACAGTAAAAAATGAAACAGAAAAACAAGCTCATCAGTATGATGGTTTAACTCTTCTTAAGACCAAACCTCCCTTCCCATGGCGTTCAGAACCCAAATCGCAGCTTTTTCCCGTTACCATCATCTTATTTTCCCTCGTCTTGATTACTAATTCTGTATCTTCTTCCCTGCAAATCCAGACCACTGCTTCGTTAGACCCGATAACGACGACGGCTACAGGGGACTGCAGCGGCCACTCGATTTACATCAGGAGCCTCCCTCACACTTCAATCTTGATCTTCTGTCAAATTGCTCCGAACACCCACTTTTTGATAACTTCTGCCCTTGTTTAGCTAACCATGGCCTTGGTCACAAGACCCACAACAAATCTCAGAGCCGGTACCGCACCAATAATTGGTTTTATGGAATTTTATAGGTGGGGCCCAATTGACGTATAATGGAAAGAAGAGAAAAATCACCACGTATGATTAAAATGGGCGGGAATGGGCCAGTTCAACATCCACGCAAGCAAAAAAACCTCCACCGTGTTTAAAATATCTAAGTAAGCACGCCATTAACGGGAAGATGACGGCAGCTGACGTGGCCCGTCAAATAATGGGTTATTTGTCCAAGTCGAAAACTTTGTGGGTGTATTTGTCCCCATTTTTTGTTCGGGGGTGGATCCGTCCCTGACCCTATAGTTGAGGGGTGGATTTGGGTATTTTGCCTATTTTTAATATGGGTGTAGACAGAGAAAGAGGAGTTAGAAACCGAACATAATACCATCCAGCAATATTCTCACTCATAAAGCAAAATATTACAACTACGTACGCCCATTACGTGAACAATGCAAACTTTTCTATTTCATCAATGACTGTATCGCCACGTTCATTCTTCCTGTAATAAAACACGACAAAGACTGATGTCGTCGCTACGTTCGTCACCCAACCTTCCGTCATCCACTGCCTCATCGAGGTTTGAATAGGGGTGAGTATTATGTATGGGTATA